CAAGCCCAGGGTGGGGACGGGGTGGACTCCACCAAGCCCAGGGTGGGGACGGGGTCGGACCCCACCAAGCCCAGGGTGGACCCCACCAGTCCCAGGGTGGGGACGGGTGGACCCCACCAGGCCCAGGGTGGGGACGGGTGGACCCCACCAAGCCCAGGGTGGGGACGGGTGGACCCCACCAAGCCCAGGGTGGGGACGGGTGGACCCCACCAAGCCCAGGGTGGGGACGGGTGGACCCCACCAAGCCCAGGGTGGGGACGGGTGGACCCCACCAAGCCCAGGGTGGGGACGGGTGGACCCCACCAAGCCCAGGGTGGGGACGGGTGGACCCCACCACGCCTGGTGTACTGAGGGGCCCCTGACTGGTCACATCTCAGGGATGATGGTTGACAAAGTTAAATTAGAAAACTGTGCATGAGGATTACGCCTATTGACCCCCTAGTTGGGCCCCCCCCCCCGCCAGGGCCCCCAGCAGGGAGGCCCCTCCACCAGGGCCCCCAGCAAGGCCCCCAGCAGGGAGGACCCTCCACCAGGGCCCCCAGCAGGGAGGACCCTCCACCAGGGGCCCCAGCAGGGCCCCCAGCAGGGACACGCCACTCTGGAAGACGGGAGAGCTCGGGGAGATATGATCACTACCTACAAAATTCTAAGAGAAATCGACAGGGTAGAGTAAAACTGTTTAACACGGGTGGTACGCGAACAAGGGGACACAGGAGGAGGCTGAGTACCCACATGAGCCACAGGGACGTTAGAAGGAACTTTTCAGTATCAGAGTAGTTAACGGATGGAATGCATTAGGCAGTGATGTGGTGGAGGCTGACTCCATACACAGTTTCACATATAGATATGGTAGAGCCCAGTAGGCTCAGGAACCTGTACACCTGTTGATTGATCTGTTGAGAGGGGGGATCAAAGAGCCAGAGCTCAACCATCGCAAGCGCAATTAGGTGAGTTCACTCTCCCTTCTCCCACACTCTTCTCTCCCACACTCTCCCCTCCCACACTGTATTGTGACGCATAACAGATGGAAGGGGAACCGTTGTCCCCCCCCCCCCCCGAGAGCAGTAAATAGTCACCTGGTGGTAAAACTCCTACTGGGGGAGGGTTCCAGGGAAGGTTAGTGGGGTCACTGGTTCCTAATCTGCGACCATAGGGAGGGTCAGACCCACCGGGCGTCAGGTCAACCCAGGTGTGTCTCCCTGACCTTGGGTCGATACCCACCCCCTCACCTCTCCCTGGGGGGGGGGTTAATGAGCTGTTTGTTCCGCTGTGTGACATTGTTTCTCTTCTTCCACAGAACTGTCCCGGGGTGAGTACCTGAGCTGCCGGTGACGGGTCACCCCTATGGCCAGGTCCAGGTGCGGTCAGGTCACCAGACGTGACTCTGGCAGGGGTGGAGTCAGGTCACCAGACATGACTGGCAAGGGTAGGGTCAGGCCACCAGACGTGACTCTGTCAGGGGTGGAGTCAGGTCACCAGACATGACTCTGGCAGGGGTGCAGTCAGGCCACCAGACATGACTCTGGCAGGGGTGGAGTCAGGCCACCAGACGTGACTCTGGCAGGGGTGGAGTGAGGACACCAGACATGACTGGCAGGGGTGGAGTGAGGCCACCAGACGTGACTCTGTCAGGGGTGGAGTCAGGTCACCAGACATGACTCTGGCAGGGGTGCAGTCAGGCCACCAGACATGACTCTGGCAGGGGTGGAGTGAGGCCACCAGACATGACTCTGGCAGGGATGCAGTCAGGCCACCAGACATGACTCTGGCAGGGGTGGAGTCAGGCCACCAGACGTGACTCTGGCAGGGGTGGAGTGAGGACACCAGACATGACTCTGGCAGGGGTGGAGTGAGGCCACATGACATGACTCTGGCAGGGGTGGAGTGAGGCCACCAGACATGACTCTGGCAGGGGTGGAGTCAGGCCACCAGACGTGACTCTGGCAGGGGTGGAGTGAGGACACCAGACATGACTCTGGCAGGGGTGGAGTGAGGCCACATGACATGACTCTGGCAGGGGTGGAGTGAGGCCACCAGACATGACTCTGGCAGGGATGCAGTCAGGCCACCAGACGTGACTCTGGCAGGGGTGGAGTGAGGCCACCAGACATGACTCTGGCAGGGGTGGAGTAAGGCCACATGACATGACTGGCAGGGGTAGGGTCAGGCCACCAGACATGACTCTGGCAGGGGTGGAGTGAGGCCACCAGACATGACTCTGGCAGGGGTGGAGTCAGGTCACCAGACATGACTCTGGCAGGGGTGGAGTCAGGTCACCAGACATGACTCTGGCAGGGGTGGAGTGAGGCCACCAGACATGACTCTGGCAGGGGTGGAGTCAGGCCACAAGACATGACTCTGGCAGGGGTGGAGTGAGGCCACCAGACATGACTCTGGCAGGGGTGGAGTGAGGCCACCAGACATGACTCTGGCAGGGGTGGAGTCAGGTCACCAGACATGACTCTGGCAGGGGTGGAGTGAGGCCACCAGACATGACTCT